ACTAGGTTCGTTTTATCGTATGATACGATGAAGGGCACTTCTGATTGAATGGCTACGTCAACAAACAAAACTGCCGCATTTAGAGTGAAGCTAATCCTCAAATGTATGTCGAAACACCGTTAATCATTGGTCCGTACTTCTTCAAAAACAATGATGGCCAGAACGTTACAGTCAATAATGATCGGTATAGAGCCATGATTACTAACTTTTTCATTCCTGAATTGAACAACGATGATGTCCAGGAGCTGTGGTTCCAACAAGACGGTGCAACATGTCACACAACTCGTGCCACAATCGATTTATTGAAAGACACGTTTGGTGACCGTCTAATTTCACGTTTTGGACCTGTGAATTGGCATCCAAGATCTTGTGATTTAACACCGCTAGACTACTTTCTGTGGGGTTATGTAAAGTCATTGGTCTATGCGCATAAGCCACAAACGCTTAACCATTTGGAAGACAACATTCGCCGTGTTATTACCGATATACGGCTACAAATGTTGGAGAAAGTCATCGAAAATTGGACGTCCAGATTGGACTACATCCGAGCCAGCCGTGGCGGTCATATGACAGACATCATATTTAAAATGTAATGCCACAATCACCACCACATCTTTCGGATAAATAAAATTCATGCCAATCGAATAATCCATCGTTGTTTTATTGCAATTTAAAGTTCTTTACCTCTAAAAAAACACCTTTTTTAACCTTATTATTTCCTTTGCGATGTCAATTATCTGTTTTAACCTATTGCAGCCTGATCTCAAAGTAGTAATTTTGCTTGTCGATGTTAAAGTCACTATCTTTCACTTTTTATCCTCACCAATTTCGATCGATTAATGGGCATAGGCATCGGTAATTTTTGGCCGACTTTTTGTATATTTTTTAAAATAAAAAAAATTGATAAAATTGCGCCAAAAAATATTTGAATCTTACTCCAAATTTTGGTCGTTTTTAGCCAATTAGAATTCGATTGATATATAGATAACGATATACAGAACACGCAGAAATTTCATAGTGTTCGGTTCATTTGTCTCCGAGTAATCACTACAGCAAATTCGAAAAATGTAGTTTTGGAATAAACTCGTTTAAGATTAAATTATGAAGCTGATTGATTAGAGCGGCTACAATTTAGAAGGCTGTAACTGAAAAACTATTTTAGCTATCGATTTAAAATTTAAGTACGTTATTTTTAAAGGTATAACCTATGGAAATATGAAAAAAATCGATTTTTTTTAACTACACTCTAGGTGAGTCACTTAACGAATTGTGTTGAAATTTTATGCAGTCAGCCAATTGCGAATCCATATAACTTATTTTTAATAGAAATTTTGATTTATTATATATTTATGTAAGCGATGTTGGGATTAAAAACTAAATAAACAAGTGTCTACAGCTTATAATATTTTTGTTCACCTAATTTTATATCACCTTAAACTAATCGAGATAGATATAGGGTTATACAAATATAATATAAATGATCAGGATGACAAGCGAGTTAAATTCCGAGTGACTGTCTGTCTGTAAAACCTTTAACTGTAAAAATTCAGTTCGTACATGAGCGTAAACGGACCACTGCCACGCCCACAAATCGCCAATAAACGAAAACCTACAAAAAGCTATAATTAAGCACTAAACTAATACATAAAACTGTAATTTGGCACAGAGGATCGCGATCGAGGATGGTACGAGTGGGCTTTATTGAAGGCGGGGTCAAAATAAGACGATGGGCGTGGCAAAGTCCACATTTAGTTGAAAGCCCGATATCGACCAAATTCGGTAGGTAGTATCATCTTGACATTCTCTTAGCCGCCATATACCTAAAATAAATATTTTCGCACTTCCGGTTTACTTTATACCGCATGTATCGATCAATATGTGAGTTATCTTAGTAAAAACGAGAGATCGTGTGTGTCTTTGTGCTTAAATGGATAAAATCGGTTGAAAGTTCAACCTAGCCCATATATAACTAAAATTAAGATTTTCTAACATCTTGCTGATTTTACTCCATATATATTGGCGATGGTAAGTGCACCTTAAGGAAACTCAGGGAGCATATTATTAGTATGTCGTAAAATGCGTCATACATCTCTTAGATCCCATATACCTAATATATAATTTTCAAACTTCTCGTTGGCCTTATACCATATTTACGAATTACCCCATTCCCATATACTACATATAATGATTTTAGTTTTTCTAAGTTTAGTTTTATGACGAATACGACGTTCAGTATGTGAGCTATATAAATATTTATAAAATTGCTTGAACATATGTTCTCAAGTATATCTCCTATATAATCATTTCCATCTTTCCACCTGTCTTTTAAGCCGTTTAGGTTGGTCAAAATATGTAAAACATTAATCAAATTAAATGGACAATTTTGTTTTTTTTTATTATTTAATGAATTCCGAACCTCTGGTTTACGTTTTCACATCAATTAGAGGCTTCGGTTAAACCATACCTGAATGAAGTTGCAAGAGTATTAAATCTTCGTTTACGCCCGAACTTAGTCTTTCCTTACTTGTTTTATTTGAATGAACTATGATAAATTTTGTTTATTTTCAAACAATTCCTTTTTTTAATTCTTAATCATATGCTTGGGATTAAAGTTTTTATTTTTAGTTTTCAATCCGGTATGTAAGGTAAAATTTTTTTTTTCATCCCGTATTTGGGATTACAAAATAAAAAATTTCATTCAAATGGTAATTCGATTAGTAAAAGAAGGTAGCTTCAAATGACTACAACTCAGTTTTCCATGCCGAAATTGTTGGTATAACAGAGGACGCCAAGTGGGCTTCGGTTCTAACCAGCAATTTCGTTAACTTTCTAGTGGATAGCCAATGCGAAGTCTCACTGCGTAAGATTATGTAAGGAGGCAATTATTAGACTTTCAGTGGGAAACTCGGTGAACATCGTCGTGTACCTGGTCATATTGGAATATAAGGAAATGAAAGGGTGATGAGTTGGCCCGCTCGAGAGCTGCCGGGAACGTATTTTCCTTAAGCTGTTATTGGCCATTCAACTTATTTTAGGGTTGCTAGAGGCAATGGAAAGGCACACCTCAGGTCTTGGAAATGGGGAATGATGAGACGCTAGCTCATTGCCTCTGTGAGATATTTATAAAAAGAAACATCTTTCGAGCACTTTTTATTAAAACTGTTTACCTTACCGACGTCGTTTATGAAAGAGTGTAAATAAGATGATGTTTATCATGATGATCTTCTTACTACGAAATGAACCTAATTTTTCTATTTAGCTACCAACATGTACGGTATCAATGTGAAGCTATATAAGGATCACCTCCAATGTTACTATTGGAATAGTATTTACAGCCTAAATGCTCAAGATTTGCTAGCTATACAGTTAAAGCTTTTGTAAAGACATTGGTTAATTTGGAGGTTAAGGTCCCCATGAGAACATAATCCCCTTGTTACGTAAAAGCTTCTTTGAATAATCACTCAAATATTAGAATTCCGCATAAGCTAATAAACTGTGCAGCAACAGCGTATATAAAGCTAATCCAATTTTAGCAAACTAAGCGTAGTCTGGACATGGGGAATATACCTTAGCTACGGTCCTAACGATTTTTTATTAAAAAGGTTTCGATGATTGCAGCACCTTTTCAATCGATTTTTGAGATTAGTGAACGTATGCCTCGTATTCTGATATTAATCGATGGGCCACATCAGTGGAGTTCTCAGAACAACGCCAAGCATGGCCTAACCTAATCCTAATTTTACACTTACTGTCAACAGACTTGTTTTGTAAGCAATTGGCAGTGAAGTCAACTCTTAGACTGAGGGGATCCTCCCTGTTAGTCGCCAGTAACAAGGGACATTTTATGATACTTAAAAAGTTCCCGTTTCTTCCCATTACCACAAATCGAAATCCTACAGAGCTGAATTTGAATTCGGTCCCCAATATTGCCTTCCAAAAAGGTAAAGATTATCTCCGGCTTATCTCATCATTATTATTGTTTTATCCCGGCAGTGTAAACCCATACGATGGAAAAAAGTTTGTTTTTTAAAGTTTTATTGGTTCTTGATAACGCTGGTTGCCACAATGTACAACTGGATCATCCAAATGTAAAAATTGTCTTCCTTCCTCTTAACTGCGCGTCATTAATACTTTGGACCAAGGAGTCATTCAAACTTTAAAAATGTATTACACGCCAAGTTTTCCAAACCATTTTCGACAGATTAGAAAATAGTGATGAGTTTGGATGGAATTTTCTATTTTAGATTGTATTAGAACGGTGTCATCGGAAACCTCTTTTACTTGAAATGGTTCAAGAAATACAAGATGATTCTACAATTTCACTCCCAGTTACAGAAATAGTGAATATTGCTTCTCGTTTAGGCGATGAAGAATTTACAACAAACCATCAGGATGTAAGAGAACTCGTACTCGGGGAAGAAACTTTAGATGAGGATGAATTGATGCACCTGAAATCCATTGGTAAACGAAAATAAGACAGTTAGATAGGATGTATTAAATGGCGCGAAATATGTGTTATTTTTTTTATAGTACAAAACAAATATATTTATTCTATCTTATTAAGAGGCTACCGTTTAGTCACTATTGGTGCTGGTATTTGAACCTATCACTGAATTAATGACTTGACATGAATGACTATAAGATGACTAATAATATGCAAGAAATTTGCATATGCACATAATTTTCTATTTTCTTAACCGACGGATGACGGAGATATGACGTGCCGCAGAAGAAGAAAGAAAGAAGAAAGTGGATATTTAGACATTAGCATGCTTTGTTTGAAGAAAAATATAATTCACCGGGTACTTAATACAATTCACTCTGGTCAACAAGGTCTGTTCTGTAAACTTGTGTAATATTTTGAGGCTTTTGGAGTTCTCGCTCCTTCATGTGGTTTATTGTTTGAACGAGTTTCCGACGATAAAAAGGTCTAATCTTATTGATATACAATCTTGATTTAAATAAAAGTATTCCCTTTTTAAGATCCAATAGAAAATTTGTAGGGGCTTATTATTTTAAAAAGTTTCGTACTTTTAATGAGCTTTGATGTAGGAACTTGTCTTTTATTTAAAATAGCTATTCGACTTTTGGTTTCTTAAAAGTGGCTACGTTGAGCTGGGCGACGAAAGTTTTTCACTTGGTGGCTCGGTGCTGCCACATGATGGAATTGTTGCTGGCGAGCCTGTTGCTGTGGGCGATGTTGCTGCTGCTGGTGTTGTTGCTTATGATGGGCAGCGTCCTCATCATATGGGTGAAGGCGAATGTATTCCAAGGACTTGAGGATTTGTGGTGGAATTGGTGGAGGTGTGGGCAAGTGATTGCCCTGTGGTTTGAAACCGTTGTCATCAGCCAAGTAAGAGAGCTGAATGAGTTCACCTTCAGGTGAGTAATACGCGAAACCGCCGCTGGCATGATGACCACCAAAGCCTTCCTCTTGAGCGCTAATACCATTGGAAGTCGAGTAGTCGAGTTTGTAGCTGCCATCTCCGTTCAGTTGGCTATTATGCTTCAGCGTCTCCGCGTGAGTGCCCTGACTAATAGCTCCGTGGGCAACACAGGCTAGCGAAGCGATGATGGCAATAAGCATCTGAATAAGGAAATACATACGTACGTCAAATAAGTAAGATCTAATATTTGTTTTTAATATCAACAACTCACAAATTTATTCATTTTTAAGGTAATTATCTTTCGGAAACCTTTTAAGCAGTAGTTTGCTAACGAAGACACTAAATTGATTTGATGCAGATTCGCAAAAATCGCTCTAGTTTTATACGAAAAATTATTTGTTAACCTACACGATTCACAAAAAAATGCTGTCAAGTTGGCTTTTGTTATGCATATCAAGCGTCAAGACGTTAATTACAATCAACGAATTACTTTTGGAGTTATAGTTTAGACAATTGATCCGGTGACCGCGTTTGCATATGGCTTGAATGTGTGTGGAACACGCCTGGTAGAAGATCGGTGTGTCCATTTAGGGTTTAAAAGCAAAATGCGGTCAAATTATAATCGAATTAAAACAACATCACAAATGCACATATTTGTATACATACAAACATATTCATATGACCACACATTTAGTCTGAGCAAGTGCATAGAATAGATGGCTAATAAAATTAGCAAATGTAAAATATATAAAAACTAATTAAAATAACAGAAAACCGCTTGCCTTGCTTGGTTAACCATTATTCGTTTTTGAATGAACATCGAGCACACACACCTATGCAGTCATGCATAAAAAGAAAAGAAGCATTATCTTTTATTTGAAATTGAATATAGCCGTATATGAACGCGGAATTTTATAAAAAAAAGTTGTAGGTTTTTTATAATTAAATTTGGCACTAAATACGCAAATAGACTTATATCTGACGACTGCGTGAGTTCCAAACAAAACCGATTTTTTTCAACTATACAAAAAATATTTGAAAATAGCAGTACAACCTGTCATAAAATACATATTCCCATAACGGAACCAAGTTTACATTTCCGAAGGGGTTTATAAGTGGTACGCATTATAAAAAAATATTAAGTATTCACATTTTGATTTTTGATGCTCTTAAAATATTTGAAATGTACCATACATATTTGCGTTATTTTTATTCTAAACATGGTAGCAAGGATAATTTGGGATGCAGCTGAACATTAAATTTTTAATACAAATTTTTTGGATAAAAAAATTCGCAATCCTGATAACAACAACATATCACCATGTTCATCTTATTGGTGTTATCGGAAGCAACTTATCGATAACACTATCTTTTATTGCCGAATCACAGAATCGAAATGTTATCTCTTAGTTACATATACCTACCATAACAGGGTATATTAAGATTGCCAAAAAGCTTGTAGCACCCAGAAGGAAACATCGGAGCTGTTACTTACTCCGGAACAACGTACAAAATTAGTACCAAAATAATGGCTCGGTTCGCGCGAGGCCCGAATGAGTCCATCAATTTTACAATTGAGATGGCATATCTTAAGAGCAATATTTGTGAAAAGTTTTATCCCAATACAATCATTGGTGCTTGATTTGTACTCATATATTGGAAAATGAGTGAATTGGATGGAATTTAAAACTGTGTCCATGGGAACTGGGCATAGTTTTGTCCAACTTCGCCCAGTTTCACGCTGTTACATAAAATTGTCAGGGTTATGTTACCTACAGAACTTGGTTGAAATTGGTCAAGTAAGTCCCGAGTTATGGGCTTTCACTTAAAGGTGGGCTGTGCCACGCCCTTCGTCCTATTTAGATACCGGCTTCTATTAGGTCCTCCTGTACCATACCGGGCATAAAATTTAATGTTTCTGACGCATTTATTTACAAGTATATATTAATCGCATTTTTAGTAGTTTTTAAAAAACAGTTGTATGGGGAGTGGGCGGGGTTATCATCCGATTTCACCAATTTTCACATTGTCCGGGCAAATTTGGGTGATGTAGCTTGATTTGCCTATTAGTGGGCGGGGTCATGGCCACTTTTTAAAGAGTTTTAGCCCAGAAGTGCACATCATTAATACAATTTTGTAACAAATTACAGTTTTATATCTTTATTTGCAGCTTAGTTAAGGCAATTAATAAGTTTTCGATCATTGGCGTTTTGTGATCGTACAGTGGTCTGACTACGCCCATCTATAATATCGCACTGTTTATTGTGCCTAGGAACATGTGTACCAAGTTTCATTAATATATCTTTACTTTTACTCAAGTTACAGCTTGCTTAGATAGGCGGACGGATTTCAACTCATCTTTTCATGCTGATCATTTATAAATATGTTACTTATATAACTCTATATCTATCTCTATCAGTTTTAGGTGTTATAAACAACCGTTAGGTGAACAAAACAAATATACTCTTTAGCAACACATTGCAAGAGTATAAAAATCAAGACCTTGTATGGAAAAAAAGATGTGTTCACGATGTAGCATGGATTACAGTTTAAGGCTACGCTACAATCTTCAAATATATCGTTCAGATCGAACCAGTATAGCATATACAGTGGATGTAGTACAAACTGAACGATCAAAATCAAGCGAAAGGTCTTAATATAATATATTTTTCCATTATTAAAAAACTAGCAAACTTTTGCTTTTGGATGCTAATGAAGTGCAGCTGAAGTTAGCGTTTTACCATGTTCATGGTACGATTTTTATGGCGTGTCATATGCAAACTTACCATTTTCTTTTCAAACACGTATGCTTCTCCTTATTTATAGCAATTTATATTGTATATTTTGGATTAACGTTAATTTGCAATAACTGACTTCTCAGAGCTCCATGGAATATATGGTACACATTGGTTTTCATCAAGAATCTCAATTGTTACTCAAATTATCGCTTGTACGGACTGATATATGGACAGAAATCGGGAAATAAATTTGTCTCGTCATCCGTATCATTATACGCTGAATAGGACCACGAAGTTTGTAATACCCAGAAGGAAACGTCGGAGATCCTGTAAAGTTTATATACTATGTTTAAATGATCAACCATCTATCTGTCCGTCGGTCAAGAGGTAGAAAAGGAGGAATCTATAAAACAATTTTTATGCGATCGCAACTATCGGTTGAGGGCTTTTTGACGACGTATCGGAGGTTGCACATATAAAACTTTTCGTATTAATGAATTTCATTAGAAGCATGGCCAATAGAACGAGTGGACTTTAGTCCCGGTGGTATCACAATGGGCCTCCTAAAGACCTAGGTGTAGGTTAGACAGGCTCTGTACCTACCTACCTATCTACCTTGACATGGATTATTATCTAAGGCAACGGCAGAATCTTCGAACAAATACAAACTATAGGATATAGCTGCCATACAAGCTGATCGCTCAAAATAAAGTCATTGGGTTCAAAACTTTTTCATTTGACAAAATGTCTTAACGAAGTTTGTCATGGATTATTGTCCAAGGCAACGATACAATTTCCAAACAAAATACTCAGGTTAGACCACTATAGTATATAGCTGTATATATCCGACCAACGTGTTTGCTTGTTTTGATTATCTTTTAGAAGTTACAAACAACCGCTAGGCGAACAAAACTATTGTACTCTCAACATGTATGACAGTGTAAACAAGTTATGTACAAATTAGAAAAGTCTTAATTAGTTTAGATGGAATTGAATATTAATGTAGTAGGAGAAAATGGAATGCGTTATCAATTTTTCACGGCTTCTTCCGTGCACTACTAGAGGCCAATATTTATTTAATATTATACTTGCCTTATCCACAAAAAATCTAAATCTATGGACATATCACATTTTTAGTCAAAAATACTACATACAATTTTGAAATATATTGTCTTACTTAACATGAAAAAAAAAATTATTTTATGTCCTTTTCTTGCACGAGTAGAAACATCTGTCTTGTTTTGAATGCTCCAGCAGTAAGTCCTTCCATAGTACGAATATCCTGATGACAGCGTTCTTCTTGTTCTTCGCTTAAGGGGCCTAAATTTTCTGGGAAGCGGTCTAAATGGCTGAAGCGGAAGTGCATTTTGATGCTCATGTTACATCCTACTGTCTGGAAGTCCAACATGAGCTGCTCAGCGTTGAATGTAGTCTGGAGACTTTTTATTTCCTAGGAAATTTTGCACAACCCAAATAAATTCAATCTATGCAGATTCAGTAAAATGGTGGTCCTTTATTAGTTCCCTGATTTGAGGACCGTCAAAAATACCAGCTTTAATTGTTTCTGTGCTCAATTTCGGAATTATTTTACTGATATATTTAAAACATTCCTCATCCTTGTTTAGAGCTTTTACAAACTGTTTTATCAGACCAAACTTTATATGTAGAGGGGAAAATACAGGTTAGTTGAAAAGTTTCTACGCTCGAAATGAAAAAGTACTGTTTTTGGTACGAAATATATTTTTTATTTAATATAATCTCCCTTAACTTCAATACACTTATTCCAATGATCCTCCAATAATTTTATGCCATCCCTATAATGACTTACCGGAAGCTCTGCAAAATACCCGTTTACGGTTGTAATAGCTTCTTCATTCGATGAAAAACGTTTTCCACGAAGGAATTGCTTCAAAAAACCGATGCCATAACCATTTTTGCTGATCGTTGTGACTTCACCTGCTTTAAACGATCTTGCTTCAATTAAAGATCGTGGTAGTAGATTCAAGTCTCATCAATAGTTATAAAACGAAGCAAGAAATCGGTTTTATTCTGCTTAAAATGCTCCAAATTATGCTGAGAAATTTGTTTTCGATTCAGTTTTTGTTGAATTGTTAATGTGTGAGGCACTAACTTTCCAAACAGCTTTTTCATATGTAATTTTCCATGGAAAATATGAAGTACTCGTTCAAGTCAAACTGGGATATTCACTAACAATATTATGGACTTGCTCAATGATTTGTTTAAATTCCCCAGCTCAAAATTCCACCGTGCGCGTTTTGAAGGTTAGGGCTTCTTATACACTTTTAAAATTGTTCATATATTTCCTTTGCTTTTTAACCTTTCAAAATAAAGAATCTAATCAATGCGCGATATTAAATTTTTTTCCATATTTAAAAATACTCTAACGCGTCAACTTCAAATGGCTTGTAAACAAAGAATTAATTGACAGAATGACTTGAAACTTTGCATATGTTTTCAGATGTACGAACTTAAGAAAAAGTAGTGATATTTTTTGGTGAGACCAACCAACCTGTATAATGCGGTCTCTGGCTACTAGAGGGACATTCATCACACTCATACTAAATTAACTTTCAAAGGCCAAACTTTTTTAGTCCAGTGTCTTGGATCGGCAATCCCATAAGTACATGAAACAGGGGTATTTGGTATATCCCCCTTGTGGACCCAAAAGAAAATTTACCATTTTAAGATCAACGCATATCATATCGACGCCAGTTATGTTCATGAATTTTATTACCAAAGTAAAACAGATCAGACGCATTTAAACGGCATCACAAACAGCACAAAAACTATTTGGATCATTTAAACATATTCTTCTTATGTTTACATTAATTTTATTATTATATGAAATTTAGTAGTTTTTGCCCTAAAAGTTAATTCAAGTAAGCCGAGTAACGATATTTCAAGAAGTACCTGTGTCACTAAAACTAGAGCTGGTAGAAAGAAACTGAGGGTACATTTGAAATCAGCGAAGTCAAATGAGTAAGAAACAGTTTAGAAACTTCATAAATCAGAAAAAAATTTTATTTTGTTTATCAGTGTTATCTTGTAATCTTCTGTATAGGCATTGATCTGATTTCAATCATCTATCAATGATTTATTAACGGCCGAGACTAGTGAATACCAAACGTGGGACCCAAAAAGTTGACAAAAATATCGTTGCTACACTTTTTGTTTTTAAGTTTTCATTCGCCTTTATCTCATTTCATAGCAAAAATCAACATTTCAAAAAGATAACACTTTATTAATTTTCTTCTTAAACATAATTTGTATGTATATACTAGTGATATGTACAAGCGAATTGTGCAGGCTTGCAACCAAACAATCGAAGAGAACAATCATTTTTTTTCGACTTAAACAAGTGTTAAAAACCCATCTACTCACAATATGTACTCGTATTTATATGATTCGGCATACTCATACGTTTATCTGCATGTGGACTTATTCATCTAAGGACTTAGAACTTGTCTTGATACTGAGCTTGGCCGCTGGCGCCCTTGCGGTCCTCCTGCTGCGGATGTGTACGAATGTATTCCAGTGCCTTGAGAATGGCCTTTGGTACTGGCGGTGGTGTGGGCAAATGTTCGCCAGCCGGATGGAAGCCATTCTCATCGGCGGTATAGCTCAGTTGAATGAGTTGACCATCTGGCGCATAATAGGCTGAAGAGCCGCTCGCATAATAGCCGCCTACACCGGATTCACCAGCGGCAATGCCATTAGAAGTTTCGTACTGATATTGGTAGCTGCCATCCTCTTTCACTTCGCTTTTGAAATTTCTCGTCTCGGCAGCGGCATCGTATTGATCAGGACGCGCTTCTACGAAGTTGTTGCAATGGCAGAGTATGATTGTTGCAACGAATGCGATGACAATGGAAGTGGTGGTCTGTAAATAATTGGATGCCAATGAACATTTATGAATGCAACGTCGTTTCGTACTTGAAAACTGAAAATGTATACGAGCTCTCGCTCTCATCACTTACTGTTTTCGACATTTTGCTGGCTGGTGTTGCCTTGTTGTTTAAATGGATGCTTCTGCTTCGAAAGTTTACACAAGAATGAATATGTGCCCAAGTGTCCACTGGTGCATTTATAGTAACAAATTGTACCAGTTTCTTATGTTTCACTTCGAATTGTTCCAACGAAACGCTGAACCAGATTGTACCTTTCTGAAGAAAAAACACGATTACTACGAAACGATAAATAAAATCAAGATGAGCAAAAAATCAAATTAAAGCCCAAATATTAAAGCCGAGCTGCACAGTGGCCACCATTGTAGTGCATCTACATTTTTAAATTGCCTCAAATATAATTATTTTTGTTGCTCTTTGCATTTTTATTAACACTGTTTATGCTCCAAAATATGCGGAACATTATTCGACCTGCTTCGGCTAGCTTTCAAAGTTTGTTTACTTTTCCCTCAGCCATTACAGGCTTCCTAATAAAATTTAAGGGGCGTGAGTTAGTGTTTGTGAACATGAAAAATAATGACACAAACTAACAAATTTTTTTTCGTCGCATACCCGATGAGAAAACTCTTTCGTTGCTGATGAGACATCGCTCTGTATGCCGATCAGGGTTCCGAATTTTTTTATTCAAAAATTTTGCATTAAAAATTAAATGTTTGGGATTAAAAATTGAAAATAATTAATAAATTTTTAATATTAATGAAGTTCGCAAACGAAAAAAATGTTAATTTTAAAACAACTATTTTTTAATTTAATTTTTAATTATATGCTTGGGATTAAAATTTTTAATTTTTCAATCCAGTTTGTGGGATTTATTTATTATCCGGGATTTGGGATACAAATTTTATTTTTTTTGCATGATTTGAAACCCTGATTCCGATATGCTTTATTTTCGAAGTGTAGGTTTATGTGATCTTATTCACATAAACTTTACCCTGTTGTGCTTGACAATTCGTACCCCTGCAAGCCAGCTATCGGATAAATCAGCGGTTAATTACCCAAACGCCAACAGAGATTTCTGGTTAAGTTTCTATGAGTTTCTTAAGGCCAAAACTCTTCTATAGGAGGAATCATTAATGTCTTTCTTACGCAATCGTTAATCTCTTTCTATGAGTTGCACGGTGTGTATGTTTTAGTTTCCGCGCCAATTCTTTATTTGTATAGGAGTTTCGGGAGGCGTGACTTGCTGGACTTTAAAAATGAAGCCAAGGAAGCAAAGGGTATGTCTGAATGAACGCTTTGCTTTCCGTACTTTACTTTTTAATAAAAATGGCTACTGTTGCTTGGCAAAAAGATGAGAGTTGTCCAATATTTAACTTCGCTTTTCTTTGCTTCGCCTAGATGGGAACGATCTTATACAAAAGTATACAGTGTACTTATATGTATGTCAATTCAAATGTCTGAGGCGCAATTGTATGTGAATCAGTCATTATCCTTACCATATCATGTGAAAACAATTAATACCCATATAATTTTTATACGGATTATTATCGGAGTAAATGTGTGTCAAAAGCTAGACTTATTTACTGATTTTAATGCCTATTGCCAATCTTTACAGAGTTAGCAGTTTATTCAACTGTATGTACGAGTACATTTGATATTAGAGATGTCAAGTCAAACCTATTATTGGAGCATTAGCATAGGATATTACGAGTGTCAGCCCGGTTGATTAAATTTTTTCTAAGCATTGTGGATTTACTTGGGCTAAAGTAGTACAAGTAAAATAAAATAAGATTTGAAGTAGTGCTGAAAGTTATTGAATATACTAAATCATACGAAGTTTATACCTCCATAGGCTTAGCGATTAGTTTAAAAATTTCTAAACGCAGCCCTCATATATACATGATACATACGCTGGTAATGCATCTCCATTTTGCTTACAATTCGAGAATGGATGGTTTCGCTATTAAGCTAATACTTCACGAAAGATATTGGTCGTTGTTCACTACAATATAAAGTACCTGAGCTGCAATGCAGTGAGTTATAGTATATAAAGTAAAAAAAGAACATTTTTGAAACAGGAATAAAAGCAGTCAATAATTTCAGATAAAGTCCAGTGCACCTCTGAACATATAGTTTAGTACACCTCTATCTTTAATCTATTATGTCGCTTTACTAACTTCCTCTTGTCGTTTGTAATGTTTCGATTCAAAAATGTTGATATCATTTCCAAATACTACAGCGCTGCAATTGATAGATTTGAACATATGTATGTATGTATGATTTAGAATCGTTTCAGATATGCAAACTACATAATAACGTTACATATTTCCTGTTGGGTGGGTATCTGATAATATTTCTTTTGTTTTATTTTTGTTTAAGCTATGCTACAAAGCATCAGCGGCTTCATGGCGGTTCCCATTAAGCGCTACATTGAGCGTTAATTTTTCAAAAGCCAACAGCATCACCACCTTTTTGATGGTAACCCTTTGTGTCATTCACGGGTTACCCGTTAATTAATAATAATAATAAAAATTGGCAAGTGGTTTAGCTGTATGAGTATACCTATATCTTTAGAATACAAACTAGAGTTGTGAGAACTCAACACTAGAACGTTTTTTGTTGTACTTGTTTCTGCGAAGACGGAAGAGGTGTATTCTGAGCAGAAGCATCTGATTAAATTAGGGATGGTACTTGTTATACAAAAATATTTCAGCTTTCGAGACGTTTGATCATTAATAATAATTTTAAAAACCATTACTTTTACTTAACAAATAAAACGTGAACTTCGACTGCACCGCAGCTATAATATCCTTCACAGGTGAGTTTTTTATAGCAATAATGGGTATAAAAAGATCTCTAACTTGATAGGTCAGTTTGGCAAGTATATGCTGTAGTGATTTGATCTGAACAATATGTTCGGAGATTGTAGCGTTGCCTTATTATCCAAGGCCAAATTTCTTGAAAATACTTTGTAAAATATGTAGTTTTCCATACAAGGACTTGCGTTTGATCGATCAGTTACATGGGAGTTGTATAGGGTGGGTACTCAGACAAATAAGTTAAGTCTCTCCAGGTATGAGCTCTTAATTGCAACAGGAATGTTTTCCGCCTTACAGTAGTCTATTTTTTTCTTATTATCAGATAGAAAAGTTCAAATATTGCTTCCAAATACTTGAAAAAGTATCTCGATTTGGTAGGAAATTGAATGCTCTACAAAAAGTCTCTTACGACCTAGAGGTATAAATGATATTAATGGTTGAAGTTTCATTATTTTAAGGCATTTTTTTTCTTGTAAATAGTTTTGGAGGAAATTTACCGCTCTACAAGAAAGGTCTCTTATAAACATTGTGGCAAACTTAATATAAACTGTTCGGGGTATTATGAGGTTTATTGCTTAAGGGAATGTTTGACCGAAACTCTTCGCTCATTTGTTTTGATGTATCCCGAAATGAAGGAACCCACATTTTTTTAGAACTCCTTTTCCTTGAAAAGTTTTGCTTTCAGATTATAACTGTACTGTTACATTTTCACGAGGGTGTTATTTTAGAAAACGAAGTTCTGTGATCGACTTAATGCAAGTAATTAATCAGTTGATTCGAAGACGGTGGCTAATTGTAAATACTTTCAAATTCAATAATCCGATTGTCACTAACGCAACGACGACCATATGATTTGGCATATCTTCGAAATCTAATCTGACAGGTATAAGAAACAGATTTTTTGATTATGACAATGCTTATGTGTAGCAACTTACTTCAAATATCTCTAAAACTTAGCGGTTAATCTTTTAATCAATAGCCATAATAGCCGATATTGTCAACGTCACTGAGAACTGCTTTAGACTATAGTTCATATTGTTGAGAGTTCAAAATTACAAGAAATTTATGTTATGATCCGTTTTCCTTTACTTATGGTAAAAAGCTTCTAATACACTTGATATTAACATAATACTTATACATTAGTCAGTTTATAAAAAGTTTGAAAGCGTCTTTTTTCCGACAGTGCCCTTCCTAAACTTTTATGTTATCCCATGATACCATATATTTGAAGTGTTTGATATTGCCAAACATAATAAGTACTAAATCAAAATATGAAGATATTAAATTTGAAGCTCTCGCTGAACTTGAACTAAAACTCTTTTAAATCAAAAATCACTTCCAGATTTTTTTCAATCTCTTTATGGCATTGAAATGGAGTATTAATATCCACGAAAAATTAGCATGCGAATCGCTCGCCAAATATTAGGCTGGAGTTTGATGAAATCAATCAACACTTGCTTCCGCTGTAAAGACTGACGGGCATGGTTAAATCAACTCGTTATGTGGATTTGTCGGTCTCAATCCCTTTATGGAAAAATGCCTTAAATACTAGCAAAAATCCGAAGATGAATAAAACAATGTAACTTTATGGAACTCAAACTTTTATGAATAATACTTTTTTGCGACCTTAAAAATTATTAAATTTATCACATAATGAGTAAAAGATAATTCGAACACAGTCATGTTAGGTTAACCTTTACTAACCAGTAGGCTCATCCGTTCTAACACCAAAATGCGTACTAGAACCGACATGTGTCACTTTACAGGAGTAATGTACTCTTTACAAAGCTTGTGATGGAATTGTATTAAATGTGAAATATCTTAGGAAAGCTTTTTACTAAGCATTGGACAGTGATATGGGTAAGAGGTCTATTTAAGTTGAATTAACGCGCGAATGTATTGCATTGTTGGTGTAACTTTTAAATAAACCTAAGTGGCACTGACTGATGTAAGCGCGGCTTACTGTATTTTATAACGTCTTGCTTTGACAGGCAATTGAATGAAAACGACAGTGGTTTGCCGTTTATACTTTTTCATTGTTTATTTATTTATGTTTATTATCAAGTGTAAAAAGCTTACGATAGCAACGATCAAAGAAATCGAAACATTTTTGAGTGACCAATTTATCTGTGGAATGAACGAAGTGACACAAATGGAGCAGCAGAAGAAGATGTAAAAGCAACAAATGAAGGCACGTAAACACTTTAATGATGAGCTATTGTTGAACGCAAATCTTACAAAGGTGCTCGAAAATACGAAAAAGCAATAACAATAACAATGTATCGTAAATGGAAGAGAAACGAAGAGTGCTACTTATTAGATGGCGTTGTTGTTGTAATCGTGTGGCTAGAAAATATTTGCTAAAAATAAAGTATGAACATTTTTCATTCAACGCCGCTACATATTAACTATTT